TTGTAAAAAGGTGAAAATGATACCTAATGTATCTAGCAGGTGGATCAGGATTGACAGATGGCAGGTGGATCCTAATTTTCCTCAGCCTTCAGATCCTCAGCATGGGTGTTAATCTTGGTCAGGTTCAGCATTGTCTCCGCCTGGGTCCCTCTCTTCCGGTGGCTCCGTTTGAAGGTTCGAGGAAGGGCAGCTGTGCACCTGTTCATGGACCTTTGCACCCCGTTGACTCTGTTAAACAGGACAAAGGCAAGGCCGAGGGTTAGGGTGTACCCGATTGCTGTGGCAAGGCAAAGTGCCGTGTCGGCAGAGGTCCAGGATCGAGCGACGGGAAAGGTGTTCTGGACAGACAGCCGAGACAGTGCTTGGAGTGCTGTGTCGATTGGGGTGATGTCAATCATCTGGGACCCCCCTTCCTCAATGCTCAGTTCCAATTCAGGTTCCAGGGTGAGACTGTGATCCTTGAAGAAGGCTGAAATTTCCATTACATTCCGCCACAGCGCCAGGTCCCCGAGGTGGAGGATGGCACCTTTGGGTAATTTAATCCACATACTCTGGTTGGGCAAGCTGACACGGGTGGCAGTGTCATGCTGGTCATAGGTCAGTGTGGCGGTACGGATGGGCGTGTTGACGAGCCACTGATTTCCCACAATCTACGGATGGGCGTGTTGACAAGCCACTGATTTCCTACAATCTCTGCTTGCGTTTCTGTGACTTGTGTGCGAGGCTTGGCCTCAGCAGGGCAGAGTGTCTCTCTTTGCATGGGTTGTAACCCACAGATTCCTTCAGTGTTGTCTCGGAGGAAGGGCTTGCTGGGGCAGAGATAATGAATGTCTTTGGTCAGGGCACACATGCGCAGGTTTGGGGCCAGGTATAACTGTGGGTCACTGTCATGATAGGCTACCATATCTGGGGTGTGGATCCTGATGTGAGTGTTTCCTTGCCAAAATCCAACATTGACAATGTCTTTGAGTCTGTAAATGTTGTCAGATTCAATGATGGGTAGATTTAGAAGAAACGCCATCTCTCTCTGCTCGGGGTCGACATGTAGCAGGATGGATCCTCCCAAGGAGTATGTAAAGTGGGCTTGGAGAGAGTCAGGTGGATGGGTAGTAGCAGAGGACAACACAATTTGTACTAGGCTCAGGGGCACCAGATATGGGGGAATTCTACCCATGGCTAGGCTGTCGATGGAGGAGCTCACCTCACAGAGCATGTCAGACATCAGTGTGGTGACCAGCTGAGTTTGGTCAACATCATTCTGTATAACAGAGAATAACTGTTTCACGGAGTTCACAGTTTGGTTCAGCAGGACACTGTGGGTGTTCAGAACCACCAGGGTGCCCTTCAATGATTTGCCTATAGTCTGTAGGGTTTGGCCCTGTAGTGTGAGTTGTTCTCTCAGCTGGGGCATCTCAGTCTGGATCTCCCTTACATGCTGCCTCAGGGTAGACAGGCTCACGGAGTTGACGCTGGTCACTCCCAGGTTAAACAGGGTTCCAACAGCAGCAGCAGCTCCGAGCAAGGCCCCTAGGAATCGTTTGTCACGCCTGTTATGTCCGCTTAGCTCTGCTTGAGTGACAGTCATTTTCTGCAACTGAGAGAGCATGTGTTTGATATCGGCTTCTGCGTGAGCGAGGGTATTCTCAGTCCATTGGGCACCTGCCCAACTGTAGTGTGCAGTTCATCGGGCACCTCTCCAACTGTAGTGTGCTGCTGCCTGGGGATTATGTGTCTTGTAGACATTTCGGGGGTCAAGTCGGACATATACTTTTTGTGTGTGAGTCCTGCAGTTGGTGATAAGGAGTCCAGGTTGTTCCCTCAGTACAATGTCTGATGCTGGACCTGGTGATGTGATATCAGGTTGCGGTTGTCCTCTGGTTAGCTTGAGGCAGAGGATGGAGAGCCACAGCAGCATCCTGGTTCAGAGAAAAAGGCAGCGGATCAGTGAGGGAAGTTCTTGTCTGTTCAAGACAGTCTTTGTTTGAGGACTATAGCAAGGCCTAGTTAGCACTAGTTTGTTTTGAGAACTGCAGCGGGGCCTAGTTAGCACTAGCCCCCCCCCCCACCAGCAGCCATATGTCTCTTGATCTGGTTATGATGGACCCATTTGAAAACTGGTTCTTTCTGTCCCCGGCTCAGCTTGATCCGGTATGCGACAGAGGAGAGTTTGTCCACAATCTCATGCGGTCCCATCCAGTGTGGCAGAAACTTCTTTGATAGCTGATGAGACGTCTGGGGCGGCTCTGTGAAACGGTAGTACCAGACTTTGTCGCCCATATCCAGTTCTTTGTGTGACGCCTTCCGGTCGTAGTATGCTTTCTGGCCTTCTGCGCTCTTTTGGAGTCGGTTATGGGTTGATGCTATCTGCAGGGTTATGAGAATAGCTGCTATCTCAGCATATTGTGATGATTGTGGACCCAGTTTGAAGTGTTGTGGTGGGCAGGGTCGATCAT